GGGAGGAGATGGGGGCATCTGTAATAGTGTCAACAATAAAAATAAAGTTAAAAAAAAGTTACATTAGTTGCAGATGAGAGTTTATTGCAGGCTTAGACAACCACGTCTGGACTGGGGCAAAAGGGTAGTTTCAGAATGGACAAAGTCCAAGTGGAGGGCAAGTGGTCACAAAAAACTGGAGCGTTGTCTGTCACATTTCCATAAATTCCGTAAGTAATTGAAATAATCCTGGAAGGCAGGCACCATGAGCTTCTTGTTCACGCGTGTTCTCATTGCCCCCAAGTTCCACAGATGCAACGGGGACCACCCCAGGGGATCACTGCAGACAGTGGATCTGCGGGATATAAGCCAATCTGCTCAGAGAAGCAGAGGGCTTTATTATTCTGCAATTAAATTAAATAAATGTGTCCACTAACCTGAAGAAAAACACTGTATCTAGGGTCCAAGGATATTTGCTTGAAAAGGTTGTTTAAGACTTGTAGAAACACCATGGAGAACTGCTTCCCAACACCACTGGAAATGCCAGTGGCATCTCTTACAGTTTTATTCTTTTATCAGAAAAAAAACCTATTCAGACACTTCATGAACAAGAGCCATGGTTTGACTATTAAGTTAACTAAAATTTAGCAGTATATATAGTAATTTCTTTATCAATTCATCTGTCAATAGACACTTAGGTTGCTTCCATACCTTGGCTAGCGTGAATGAGAACACCGGTATCTCACTGAGAGAATGGGTTCACATCCTCTGGGCATACACCCTGAAGAGGGATTGCTGGACGATACAGTAATTCTAGTTTTAGTTTTTAGAAGAACTTTCATGGCTTCCCATAAATGTTACCCCAATTTACAGTCCCACCAATAGTGTACAAGGGTTATCTTTTCTCTACATCTTCAAAAAAAAATCTGTTGATAATGTTTGAATATTTTATAGGTTTTCTTCTATTTCTATGGCTATCTCCATTCAAACACTACATTTCAAATTATGAAGGTGTGTGAGTATATTTAGATGCATATTGGGGTGATGGTAAAATAGTTATACAATTTGAAATTAATAAAAATTTTAAGAGATTAGATATACAAAATCAAAATAGCTACATAAAACCAATAAGAAAAATATTTTTGACCTTAACAGACTCAAATTTAAAACAAAAGAAAAATGCCAATTAAAAGAAGCTTTTGAATCTAGCCATTTGAACGAATAACCTAATGGAACACTTATGATGTATCATAGGTCAAAGAAACTACTGCTACGTAGATCACTTAAGATGTGTCTATGGTAGACTCCTTTGAGTTTGGATTTACTATCCAAAATAAATATTTTCTAAGGCCCTTTCCAAAGCTCTTCATCTTTGGTCCTGAGCTCCCTTCTAGATTTAGGATTGCAAAAAAAAAAGTTGTTTTAATAAGTAAATTGTTTTGATATGGGAGTGAAGTAAGCGGAGTCAGAATGTCACCAGCTCACCGTTAATGTTTATACGCAGCCGGCAGTGCAGCTGCGGAGGGGCCCCACTGGGGCCTCACCGAGAACATGTGGAGACGCCGCTCTGGCGGGGGATGTTTAGACGGTAAATACTGAGAGCTCGTGAGGACTGTCTGAGAGTTTCAGTGTGGGCAAAGCGCACTTTGCTGACCTATGCAGCTCTCCGAAGATCTTGAGATGCTTGCTCCTGCCCTGACCAAGATGACTCTGATTGGCAGGGGTGCTAAACCATGTCGCGGTCCCTGGAGCGAGGACCCTCAGAGCGGCCGACCCTGCCCAGCCACACCGCTGACCGGCTTTGCCTCGCAATGCGCTCTAGCAACCAGGCGCTTCACTGCTGCACTGCGCTGGAAGTCAGCTCCTGGCTGGTCAAGCCACCTCTCCCAAGAAACCAAACTTACATAAAAAGGTAGACCTTTGTTAAGTTTGGATTTCATTTCTTTATCTCCTCTTGCCTGGAATGAGTTGTACCATTAAATCTGTCGTTTGTGTGCGTTATGTTTTTTCTTTATTGGCTTATTAAGAGATATTATCTTGTATGCCACTGGTTTGTGAATTATTATAATTCTCGAAGTGATCCTATGCTAAATAAATTGCTGGCAAAGACACAATCAGTCTCTGAGTATAATTTTGCTGCCGAAAACAAAACATAACAATATACAAAATCTGTGTTAAATGGTCTGTTCATAGTCCATATGCACAATTATGAATCTCATATTAACCTAACTATATAAAATATATGAGGCTTTAAAAATCAGCTAAAATGTCAATAATCTGTGAATGAAGTTGATTAATCTTCCAAATGATCATTCTGTATTTATAATCAAACATTTTTTTTTTTATTGGAAAGGAGTAATACACTAAAGAGATCTAGAAACATTGGCCTTTGTAATCTTGATTTTATGAGTGAGAAAAGCAGAAAACTGTGTAGTTAATGTACTGATTGAAGAGGGGTATGCTCAACTATTTATGTAAATTCAGAATCTAGAATTTTAAAAATGTAAACTACCTATTTTTCTTTATTTGGATTACTTGAATATATATATTTGGATCAATTTATGCACATCTATTACTGAATACATTAAGAGAACAGAGGAGAACTTTGGTTTCTCCTACTATATAAAGAAAATGATTTTTTATTAGTTTTAATATATTTCAAGTCACTTTAAAGAATTCATTAAGCTTTTAACATAGTCAAAACTTACTACGGTGTCAATTTGACCTCAAATGTAGGAAGTCAGGAAGATTCAAGAACTATTTCATTGTTGGTAGTTTGTCTCACTTTTTCTAGAACAGAGATGCTACTAAATCAAATTTCCTGCACTACACAGTAGACTGGAGGCATGCTTCCAATGCAAATGATGGTTGAAAGGTTAGAAATGATACTAAGCTAACTTTTAGATTTCCCTTCTCTTGGCCTTTGGTTCTGTGTAGAAATGACATTCAATATTTTCTGTATTGCTTTTCCACAGTAGCGAGCAAAATTCTGTACTTGTTTTGCCCTGACAATCCATCAGAGCAGGATTAAATTCTTCTTGCCTCTCTCTCTCTATGCACAATTGAACACAAATGATCAGTATCCCTGATGATATGACTTTAAAAGAAGGTTCCTTCTTGACATATTAGTATAAACACTGTACAGAAGCTTTGAGCAACATGAAACATAATTGCTGTTTATTCACAAGGGATCCTCTTCTCAGATGCAGTACCTTCCACATTTAATGCACACTGGGTTCCTTTGGTAGTTTGTGGGAGTTTACAATAAATTAAAAATACATCAAACATATCTTCTCATTCAAAATGAGTTTAAAAGCAAGAAGTCTTAGTGAAATCTTAGTAAAGGGTTGTGATGTATTATAGGTAGACACTTATTATGACTACGCCTACTCAAATGTTTTTAATAGCCTCCAATGAAAACAATAAGATGTGGATATTGAAGACCAAGGTAGGATTTACTTCAAAACTAAGAGTGATTTGCAGAGGAAAATATATTCAGTTATGTAAATAGGAAGTGGGAATGGGGGATGCAAGAGGTATTGAAGTACTTCAGTTAAAAGAAAATTATAATTACTCCTAATTATAAAGGGACTAATTAATATATTCAAGGTCATGCCTGAACATCCTCATTTGAGTTAAGAGAGAGCAATGGATTGGGAGATGGGGGTGGGGAGTCCAGAAGGAATCAAACTCTGAAACTGACTCTAGGCTGGGGTGAGGCAACAAGGGGGAGGCTTCTGGAAGACAGTTTTCTTCCACTGGTTGGTGTTTTTCTGCACATTTTCTAATATTTAAACACTAGCTTACAATTAATTTGCAAATCAATGAATTTACTTTTGAATAATACAATCAACTAGTTGCTTTACTAAAAGCAATTCTATAACAGTTTTTAAATTCTAAATTTTATCTTGAATATCACTTAACAAGTAAAAACAAACATAAGTGGAATAATTGAAGTTCAGAAGTTATATCTGTAATAAAAATTTATCGTGGGACTGTAATACAGAATATCAAGTATACCATGTTTAAGAAAATACACAGTTTACATTAAATAAGCTTCACATTTTCTTATCTGGATATCTGTTATTCATATTTTTTGAGAAAATAAATTATTTGCATTATGGACCAATGATAATAATTGTTAAATTGTACAACTCAGATGGTTATAAAATATATGACAAATGTGGATATTAGTGTTCTGTAAAATAGTCTTTGACTTAAAAAAACACACACATGCTTTACATTTCCTTCTTTAGCTATAGCTGTGAAGAACTGAAACTAACAGCCATGGAGATATTTTTAAATGCATAAGCAATATCTTAAATATAAAAGCAATACCATGCCAACCGCAATAAATAATCAATGAAAAGTCAAATTTTATACTATTACACATATCAGGTTCAATATATTTCATTATTTTATTAGGCATCGAACCACTAAAAATAAAGGATTAAAAACACTAGATCTAATCGAAAGAAAGTTTAAGTTATGAAGTTATTTAGTAGGAAATTTTATACACACATTCACACACTCTATATGGGGTAGGAAACTTTAATTAAAAACATTAATACTAATTGTCTGACCAGTTCCACAGTGAGCCAAACTATCATTTAATATGTTACCACTAATCAGTTGCTTGCTCCAAAAGGGGGAAAAAATGGATGTAAAACACGTTGCAGACATAATAACTCATGGAAGGAATTGCTTAGATTTCTTATATAAGGTGGGCATGTAGGAAAGAAGCATACAGCTATTACAATTAAGATAAATGTAAATCTATAGGAAAACATTACTTGCTATAATAATTGAGGCTAAGGGAAAAAAGTTCCCTTACAATATAATTTCTGCTAGAAACATGTATAAAAGTAAGCTTCACTGTATACATAAATGACATTGACTGCCAAACATTTTAATAGAAAGAACAAATATAAAAATGTAAATAAGTTTTCATCACTTACCTTTCTTAACATTTCTGCTTGTACTTGCTGACTTATCAGAAGGACACGGACAATGGCCTTCACACCTGACTGAGATCTGTTTTCCTAAGACACATGCCTGATATTCTAGTTTGCACTGTACAAGAAGAGAAAAAAAAAGGTAATTCCAATATACTTAGTTATAACAGTAAAAACTCAAGAATGTGACAATAGTAAGCTGCGATTCTATTAACGTATGCTATGGGAAAAAACTGAATGGAATAGAACAAAGAGCATTACACTTGAGCTCAAATCTTAAGAGAGTACCTCTTCTTAAATGTGACATTTGGGGCTTGTTTTTTAAATGTTCTCAGCCTCAGTTTTCCCATATGAACAATTGGGATAACACCTAAACTACAGTATTTCAAGAATCAAACAGCAGTAGCAGCCATGAGCCAGACTCTTCTCAGTGAATGTTAATAAAAGCTGAATGAAATTAAAGGTAAATAAGCAAAATTACTAAGGCACATAAAGATGGCTTTAGTTTAGGTTTGATTTCCTTTGTAAACATTACTCTTTGTTAGTATTCTAAGCCAGAGTATTCATAAATCATTCTTAATATAATATTTTATAAATGCACATTTGATATGATTTACAATATTGTAAGACTACTCCATATTTTAAAGAGGAAATAATTACCTTCCTACCCTAAAATACATTGATCTTGCTAATTCTGAAGTAATGTGATTTCTTTAGTGGCTACGTCCATAATTTACTCAGTACAAATTATTTTAAAATTAAATACTGCAGACTTTCTGGCTCCCATCGACAAATGCACCAGTGGCTAATTTAATTAAGTGTCAGCTGATACCAAGAAGCACTGAATCCACCCAATGACTAATCGGATTACTCACATCTGTAGACAACATTTTTTCCCCCCTTGTCAAATAACTCTCTCTGGCAAAATTCTTAACTAGCCCTACAAAAAATGATTTAAAATTATTGCACTTGAAATATATTTGTAGTGGCTTAGCAGTCCTTTTTGGAGAAATAAGCTATTTCACAGATACTTTTTATTATTATTTAATATTTCAAATAATTAAAAAAATGATATTGCCATGTAAAATCACAATAAATTTCAAATGTAATGAATAATTCCCTATAGTTAATCAAAAGTAGAAATAAGTAGTAGTAAAGCAATTGTGAATGCATTATTGAAAGCAAAATAAGTTACATAAAACTTTGAGACTTCAAATTTAATAATCTTTCCTGTAACTTCTTTTAACTTAATATTTCAGAACCCTGGATCTGATCATAATAAAATCCTGACTCATGACACAATTTAAGAAAAGTTCAGGAGCAATTATAAGTGGTTTATGAGCAGATAAAGCCAAAAACAATATTATAGTTAATATTAAATTTTGAAAATGTTAGCTCCCTTCAAAGGTGTTATTCTATACTCATTTACATCTTAAATGTGGTTATTTTTTAGCAATGATATTTTTATTCAGAGAGAATGAAAGTTCAAAAAATACTTGAACAAGAAAAACCCATGAGTTATTAATTTATTAAAAAGAGGAATTTCATTTTTGCTCAAAAGTTGATCATTAATTTTATAATGTTATTAAGCAAATAATTTACAAGAAAAAGCACAGTCTTTATAAACAATTATTTTCACTTTCATCAAGATTTACCTTTTTGCTCCTTTTCTTTGACATAATTATAAATTAAAAATTTCAAAGTTTTCCTTAAGATTTGCATGATATGAAAAAGTTATAACTTTGCAAAAGAAGTACTTCATAAGTGAAACATTTTTGCTTCAGAATGATTCTACTACACACCTTTTCTGTGTGTGTTTCTGTAGAGAGCAACAGAATTAGATGTACAGCAAATATATACCATGTGTACAGTTACATGAATTTAGCTTCTTGTAGTCAAAAAGCCATTTAGTTTTATCAGCTTATGGACTGATTTTGAAAAGAGTCTTCGTGAAGAATATTATTCAAAGAATAATAGGTTATTAAAAGTAGTATTTAAAAAAAATTTAGCTACATCCACTGATTGCATTTCTAGTTAATAATGTTCAATTTACTTAATTATCACAAAACTGAAATATTTATAAAGGTATAAGTGAACCAAAATATCACATAAAGGGCATACTCATTAGTCTATAATTACCCCAAAATGCAAATACTGTACTGAAAGACATGATTAATGCATTCTTGATTAAGAACCCAGGTGCTGAGAACACTTAAGTTATGAGTTATTGTGAAAAGCAAGCCTGCAGAATGATTTTTCAATAGTGCAAGTTGACACTTGTCAGGGAAAGTAAGTTAAAGTCATTTGCTTTAATAACAAAGAAGAAAACATGATCTTACTATTGGAGAGATCTAAATTAGTGTTTTTTGACTGACAACAAAAAATTACCTGGAAGTACCTTCTCAGTCAACCTCCAAGGAAATAACTGATGCCCCAGCATGCTGAACACTTAAGGCTGGTAAGTAACTTCAAACTTTCTGATTTCTGCTTACCACCACTCCACTTTTTGGTCCCTAAGATCTATTCAAATACTTTATTATCATAACTATATAATTAAATTAAATAAGACTTAATATGATCAAATACTGGGCAAAACAGGGGGCTGGGTTTCCATGAAAAAAAATTTGAATGGCCTAGACTCAATGAAGGTGAGCGATATATAAAAAAAAAGTTTGAATCTAAATAAGTGTGTGTAAAATGAATCTGAAAGAATAGGGATACAGTTTTATAAAATTTACATAATATTCTGTCCCTTTGGGCTGCTTTGCAAAATGTCCTTTAGCTTTTTGTTCCATTTTAAATGGAAAACTTAGAAATTCACATTTTTCCCAATAATAACTGAAGAAAATAGTGTTTGTATTTCGTGCATCAATATGTGCCCGAGGGCGGTAAAAATAGAGAGTGTTGGAAGCCAAATCAATGTAAGGAGAGAAAAGCTTTTCTGACAATTAGAACTCCCCTCAAAAATAGACATTTATCTCACAGAACATGGAATCTTATCAGGGACTTGCATATCATGTAGAAGTTTGTCCAAGATGTCCTACTGAGTTGTCTTCAAATCTGAGTTTTTATGATAAAGTTAACTCATATTATTTCCTTTGACGCTCAGTGATTTAATAAGAGCTTATCCCAATGATTCTGATGATATGCTGGAGGTGTGATTTTGATCAAGTTGGCATACCCAAGCCAAAAGCAAAACCTAGCTTTTGTTAAAGAGCAGATCAAATGGAAACAGTGCACATCTATTTCTGACTGTTGATCTTCCAACATAAAATGATCTCAGCTCAGACAAAGTACTCAAAGGAAGGTAGATGGGACAGTTAAACACCAAATACTAACAGATGCAACGCATCAAAATGGTGACGTGTAAGAAATTTTCTATCTTTCAAAATGTACATATAGCTACTAGAATTAATAATGGTTATTATGAGAAAATAATAGAATGCCTCAAATATGGAAAAAAGTTAAAGAAAGAAGAACAAATAATAGTACAATGTTGAAACTCAAAATGGAATTTTCTCAAATTGCAACAAAAGACAAATGCTTCCCCCTTTAATACTAAACATTGTTCTATTTTATATTTTGTAAAACCCTCATATTTAAGATTTCAAAAGCAATGATTTCAAGGGGTGCAGCAGTGCTTCTCAATCATGGGCACATGTAAAAATCATCTGGGGGGGGGCTTTTAAAATTCAGATTCACAGCATCCCATCCCCAAACCAACCAAAGTATAATCTCTGCAGCCAGCCAGAGCTGGGGACCGCACCATAAAAAGATTAGCTTTCTATTTGCCTTCCCTGAACACACACACACACACACACACACACACACACACACACACACACACACAGAATTTTTTATAAGCAATGTTCATTCTTAAGGAATTCACCATTATTTAGTTTAATTGCCAAGCACTCTATGACTAAATATGATAGAAAAATGTTCAAAATCATCCAATGTGGTGTCCCAAGGGAATTTATGTTACGGATGCCCTGCTGAGTTCTAAAACATTAATATTACTTATTGACTTCTGCTCAGCAGATGTAGTATACAATTTACACAAGTCAGTGACAAATATATCCATGGTCTAATATAGATGTATCAGAGAACAATTCTTAGTTCCTACTGAAGCTTGACAATATAATCAAAATTGACTTTGCCTGAAGTAAAGAAACAAAGACCTTCATCTTTTGTGTCAATTTCAGGAATGATTGCCTCTCAAATAACCTTGAACAGACTTACATTTTTATTTTTCTGGCATTGCTGAATTTGAAAGAATTCAAAATAGACTGGTTCTTTTAAGAAGAAAGATTAAGTTAACTTTTTTAAAAAGTCAATCGTTTTTCTTAACAGGAAAAAAATCAGATACCGTTACAAGAATATTTCTCATGAAAATCACAAAAGTCCCAATATGTTCTCAAGCAAATCTATTTTTCCATAGTTCATCTGTTCCTTTGACTTTTTGTGCATACATTTTTAAATACTCTGCTTAGAATTTCTAGACAAGCTGACAAATTCAGAGATTGAACTCTAATAAAACAATTATTCAAATTTGGGCACATTGTGTAATGAGGCATAGTTTCCAAAATTATATCCTAGTATGTCATTTGACTAAAGTCTTCACTTGGATACCTTCTGATAACCCTCTGCCTCAGCCCATCCCCCAGCTGCTGGACCTGCTATGCTTTGTAATGACCTTACCGTGGATATATAATTTACAATTTCTACTTCCTAAATTGAGCTGAAGGTAATGAGGAAAGATGATGGGTCTAAAACAGAACCTGAAGGAATATTCTTGATAGTAGTAAAAAAACAAAAACACCTGTATATCAATGCAGGGGTTCCAAAATAGAGAATGATAATAATAAAACCTGGAGAGCAGGTCTGAGCTTCGCTCCTGGATGTGGTCCCACACTCTGGACTGATAGTATCTTGCTTCTGACTAATCCTGATCATATTACCCAACTGGGGGATTAGAAATTTCAAGCAAGGAGCTTCATAGGCCACACTGAATTTAGGCTTTGGAGCTCACCATTATTGTGAGCTTGAACACCTACAACCCCCAAAAAGCTGTTAATTGAAATTTACCCTGTCAGAGTTTGCTTAATCTATTGGCAAAGTTGAGTGAGCCAAGAACCAGAGAAAGATCCTGTGACCCCTGCACCCATCTTCTACTTTTATCTCTGGGAAAATAATAAAATGACTTTCTCAAGAAGGCACTTGCCTCTGTGGTCTTTGTTCCTGATGCAGTACCCAAATCGCCTTGGGCACTACTCTACTTACAGGGGAGGAAAAACCTAAATGCCTTAAAATTAAGTCCAATATACATCTACAAAGTAAACTTCCAATAAACTCTAAAAAGTAGAGTTTGATATAGGTTCTCACTGGGCTAAGATCTCTATTTAGTTTCCATTATTTTCTAAAGCTCAGCCTCACTGATATCAGCGCAGGCATGTTAAGATTAGGATTGGGGATCCGAGGTGGAAGAATCACCAAGATAGAATCAATAGAAATAAGGATGGTGATTTGGGGTTATTAAAAACTCACGTTCATTGGCACCATGCTCCTTATATGTCTTTCTATGTCAATAAGGCATTTATTGAGAGTGATACATACGCAAAAATATTAAATTAAAATTCAAGTATGGGTCATTCAGAATGGTTTTATTGACAATATTAATGAGACCATATGATTGTAACCTGGGCTTCACAGTGTCCCCATTATAAATGAGAACAATGGGGAAACCCCATGGAATTGGAAATACATGGGAATTAATCTGCTTATGATAGGTGAATTTAGTCTCAAGTGGGAGTACGCCAGTTATGTTTCTCTAAAATCATCAGACAATGCTTCCCATATGGTCTCAACAGATGGGAATCACTTGTGATTGTAACTCTGTATACTTTGAAACTAAATTGTGAAAGAACTGATCATCTATTAGTAGCATTCTGAAGAGAGCCCCAAACGAGCAGGTGCTAGACTAATGCCAGCCGTCTCCAGGGACCACCGCGCTCGGGATACACACGCATCAGAGCCGCCGGCGCGTATGTTCCCAGCGCTGAGAAAGACATACATCTGCCTCAGCTGCATGCCGGAACAAAGCCAACCTCTCTCTCGATGTAACTTTTTCGATGATCAATGTTCATCGAATAAAATTAGGATTAAAAACTGCTTCCCATGTAGCTCTACCTACCAGTTTGAATATTATAATATGTATCCTTAGCTGTAATTTAATAAATTAGTATAACGGTTTGCAACCATGATCCTGTGGGATGTGATAATATGAGATAGAGTCATTCTCCCTTGTGCTGACAACATGAATTTTCTAAGCCTGCAAAGTTAACATTCACCAAGCTCAAGGTCATACGGAAAGGACCAGTGACACACTCCCTTCTCTTCTAGCATTATCGACATCTATATACATCTTAAAACTTTAGCAAACAGGTATATGGCAGCTTAATTAAAGGTACACAGTACTTGGCATCCAAAATGTACTCTGAATATATTTACTGACTGATTTGATCTATCTTATTGTAGTGCTTTTACCAAGTTCAGCAACCATAAAATCCAAGTGGGAGGCATAGAAAAATATTCACTGAGACACAGTATGATTCATAAAGAGGTATCCACAGAACAAAATGTTCAAATAGCCCCAAATTTTTGGAACTCACTTATGCAGTAATCAAAACCAGATAAGAACTGAGGTAAAGTTATTTTATAGACTTCATGCATCCTATTTAATGTGAATATTCCTTAAAGAGCTGTTAATATATTTAATTATAGGATAAATTTCCTCTGGGGATAGTACATACTATGCTTTTCAAACATATTTTGCATAATGATACCTTGTTAAATATATATTGTTTTAAATTCACAAATCTGTCCCAAAGTTTCAGATAAGAGGCTGTGAGACTATATATTCATTTCTCACATTAAAAAACAAACAAACCACAAAGTCATCAATGTCTTATTAGATACAGTTCTTAAAAACTCCAACATATATGAAAATAAGAAGGCAGATTAATGTAGAGGAGAGAACAGACACTGAATCAGAGAAGGCATTAAATCTTGCTTTCAGTGTCAGCTAATACATAAAATTTGCTTTATCTTTCTAATCCTTAGTTTCTCATTTGTTTAAAAAGTTTTTAGAGGCTTAAATAAAGTAATATAGGAAATAAAATATGAGATAAAAGAAATAATGATACTGACAGATTGTAGCTCTATTGATAATAATTGTTAACATTATATGCATGGTAATAATGCTAATCTCTTTCATAGTAGCAATTAAGGAAATGTTAGTTTCAATATATTTGAGGGTTCAAGTGTTCACAGTTTCAGTGTTTCAAACTTTAAAAATTATTAAATAGGAGAAACAAATAGACATTGAATCATACTTCAAACAAGTGGGATCATTCACATTATTTTAAAAGTTAAAAAAATTATTTGGATGACCACATTGGAGAAATAAGAGATTTAAGCACTTACTCATACATTTTAATCATGCATTTCATACTAAATGACCATAATTTTCTTTACCTGTGAAGAGTAGGTATGACCATCTGAGCCACAAACGGGGCTGGAATAGACCGCTGGGCACTGCTTGCAGGCGGATGAGACAGGGCCCCTCCACTGCTTACGGCCTGCTCCTGCGTCTTTCATACTGTTAAAAAAATAAAACAGCCGGACTTCATGCATTTATTTAAAAAACAAATAAATTTATACTAACAGCACATTTTTTCCACTGGCACTCCAAATCTTGAAGGTGAATGAGAATCAGAAATGATTTTACCCTTTCAACCTATTAATCTGTACAGTATCTTTTATCACAGTATTTTGTTTCCGAGGTCAAGGTTTCCCTATAATAAAATGATAATCTATTCCTTAAAAATATTTTTCTAATTACATATGGGCTAGTTATATTTCATTACATAAATTTTTGTTTTAATTTCAGTTCAACATATTTTTGATAAGACTCAGAAACAGAAACAATTGCTCAACAATAACGGACTCACACATGTGGAGCCCTCTAAAAAGCCTCTCTCTCCTATACCCTAGTTTCTCTTCAGATCCTGTAAATCTTTTGCCTCTTTAAAAAGCCTCCCTAGTATTCCATCAGGAACAGTTTCAGAAAACAGACCCTAACTCCCCGGGTGTATCCAATGTGCCTGAAAATAAGAGCAGCTTACTTTAGAGAGAAGAGCAACGAAGAACTGTGCTTTTCCAACAACCAGTGTTTAGGGAGCCAAGTTAGGGAGGTTTAGCGATGACCCATCCTCTTTTTATTGTGTAGAAATGTTTCAAAATAGATCCATTAGGCTTTGATCGAGGATAACTTGGGAAAACCCGTTCTCTTCTGCTACCTGCACTTACATTTATTCATTTTTCCACTTTGATCAAATTGCTTTATTGTTCTATTTGTGTGCACAATGTACCTAGAGAGGGGTAAAAGCCTAAAAATAAGAATATTTAGAAGCACTCTAGTAAGTCAGTACTCATTCATTAAAATTGTTTGTAGAGCATAATACAATGTCTATATCGGGATTAAAAAAGATGATTTACTAGAAACATTTGCTTTTCATTTTCTTTTCATGAATAAGCCAAACATACAGGAAATGGGTCCCGAAGGCTATTAAGAAATATAGTAAGGATCTTCGTTACAGGACAAGAAGTGCAAACTATGTACTTAAATTTTGATAAATGCAGGTGGGCACTAAGGAATGTTTCTTGCCCTGGCCCGTATGGCTCAGCTGGTCGGGAGCCGCCCTGCGCTCTGAAAGGCCGCCAGTTCGAATCCCGGTCAGCGCACATGCCAGAGCTGTGGGCTCGATCCCCGGTGGCCGGGGAGCTAATGGGAGGCGGAAGCTCGATGTCACTCTCTCACATCAATGTTTCTCTCTCTCCCCCTTTCTTCCTCTGAAAATCAGTAAAAATATATTTTTTAAATGTTTATGATTCTCTCTTCTCCTTCCTCCCCGCCTCCCACTGCTTGTTTCCCTCAAAAGATTTTCATGAAGCCTATCATAATTCCAAACGCATTTTCTTCATTTCAATTCTGTAAATTCTGCCAAAAGACCACTTTAAAATCTTGCCTGGCCACAAAGTTCACCTCGTAAGAGACACAAGGGAAAAAATAGCCATGTTGCTATTACTCATTAATTAGTTGGTACAAAATTCTAATGGAAATTAAAATAATGACTGGAAATCCTGAAACAGTATTCTATACCACTTCAAAACGTATAAATTACAGAAACGGAGTGAAAGAGAATAACTATTCTACTTGCATTTTTCTTTCACTTTGTGTAATCAAAACAAGGCATAAAATTATGCAAGTCATCTGCTCTTCAGATACATATGGAGAAATTATTACCAATTACCAAGTTGAGGCTGCTAATCAATAAAAAGTACTTTATCAGAACAGGACCCATATATGTTTTTTGCTTTGTGATATATATACACATATACTATGTATACACTATGAAGTATATTACATATACACACACTATATTCCACGATTCAAGGCACTCAGTGGTATCGTACCAATATACCTCTTATTATGTTTCTAATAGCTGAAAATTTAAAATAATAAAGATTAATTTATACTGTTGCTAGTGTTTCTTTACAGGACTTGCTCTGATGCAGTTGAACTATATCATCTTCTTGTTTGCTGAGCTATCTTCTTGTGTTCCTGATTTACCTTTCACTCCAGTCTTCAGTATGAGTCCCAGCATCAGTCACGGATGAAAGAACATCAATTTCTTATTTTTTCTGATAGCTACAATGTTAATTACAGCTACATCTGTTTAATCAATTATGATACTTGGTTTTATGTTTAGTTAATCATGTTGTGCAATTTAAGAATATAACTTGAACATGATTTTCGTGTTTTAGGATTTACACTGATTTGGGAAGGAGCATAAATGATGTTACCAAAATGGTTAGCAGAAACAAATTTCATTCCAATTTGATTTAAGTTTCATATGTCATCATGTCATTAATCAGTTTGGGCAAGTCAGAGCCTCCCTTGGCCTTAATTTCTTCATTCATACAATGCTAAGCTTCATCAGCATGGATCATTTGATTTCGAGCATTCGAAGAGTCTATAAATTCTTAATAAAACTGTTTATATGAAGGCACTCAACAGAATTTAGGAGCACAGATAGCGTATATTGGACACATTATAATTTTAGAACTTGAATTAGTGATACCAAGTGGAAGAAACATATCACTATGGTGTGAAGGATGACGCTGAGTGGGGCAAGAGATTGCTACAAATGCTGAAGCTGCAAAACTTGGTTACTTCAAGGTAGCCAATGAAAGGTACTAAATGAACCCCGTCTTGTGATAACTAATGAAAGAGGGTGGATAAAACAAGGTTGTGTTTAAAGAGGCATGATTTCCACAAAAGTATGCCTGAGAATCAAATAATTGCTCTATTACGATATCAAGGAACATTGTCAATAAATCATAAAAATAAATATCTCATATTACATATTTCTCTAAAACCTCATAGTTCCTGGATATGAAATCACATATTATAAACTTCCATCCTATAGGCCATAAATACACAAACCAAATAAAATGACCATTTATTTATTATGTGTTTATCAGTATCTAAGTCTTAAATTTTTAGGTGTATTTGTTTCTCTCTCTATGCACCTATATTAAAGTAATTCTTAATGCGTCTGCTTCAACTGAGGAATTTGATTATAATCTGATAAAACAGCATTCAAGTGAACAGAATATTCTGTGAGTATCTAGACTAAAGACAGCTTAGTGTATTTCTTGTCTGCTCAATACACCTAACATTTTCCTTAGGCAATCATTGTGTATGTGTGTGTTTTAAGTTCTGCCTGAGTTGTTGCAGGGATTCTTTCTTAAGACACAACTGCCAAGTGATGATTTTTTTCCCTACTGGCCATAACTCTTCAAGAAACAAGGCCACCCTTACTTTTTCATCATGGACCTTAGAAAAAACAGATGGTATAAGCAAGGTGCAGTAAATTACGTTTTGGGGCAAAAACATTATATGACAGTTAGAAAGCCCTTCATAGAACTTAAAACTATAGTGAGCAATATTTGCTTTATGATTTCTGTACTCTGTATGACTGTAATTTAAGTGAAGGAAAATAGCATAAGCTATCAATTTTAAGTAAAAGACACACTCTAAAAATAAAAATTAAATTTTAATTCATACTAGAAAACATTATTAAATACATAAAAATAAATTGGCATAGCTTACTCTGCAATATGAATAGAAAATCTACTTGCTCCATATATTTTACAGAGAACAAAATTTACCAAAAATGCCCACTTGTAGACATATTTTAAAATATAGTAATAGGAAAAATAAAGTAAAATACAGTGATAAGGTGATTAATAAAATGTATCTTTTAAAACTATTCCTAACATAAATTAAATTAACAAGTAGATAAATGACAGCACAGGTGCTCCAAATTTTACTTAAAGACTCACCACCACCAATAAGTGTTGTCTAGAGAATATATCTGGCTAATTAAAACTGAAATTTATGTAGTATAATAAATAATACAACACCACATATGTGTTTCTGATTTAGAAAACCAACACAGAGGAACTAATATGTGAATTGGTTCTACTAAATGTGTTGACAGGTGTGTTGCACTCCAGATACGAGCATATGAACGTGATTCCTAAGTCTACATCCCATATCTAAAATAAGAATCGGGAAATTCTTCAATTTTTCAATTATTCATGTTCCTAGATAAAGCAAGCTTTCAACCATTAACTGTGATATTCCTTTAACCTTAAACAGTTCTATAATGTCAGCACTGAGCAAAGTATGAACTAAGATTTGAGTTCACAAAAATGTGATTCTTAAAGGTCAAGGAGATTCTATATTTGTAAAAATGTATTCACATTTTAAAAATAACAGTGACAGATATGCAGCTTAAAAGGGAAAAATAGTCTACCTAAAAGAAAATGACAATGAAACAATGCAACATTTACCAGAAGACATGGGAAAAGATGGTTTGATTATTCAAAATATATTTTATATGTAAAAATATGCCCTAATTATGAAAAATCCTTTTGACTTGTTTTTATAAACAGAAGGAAATATTTTAGCTACTGCTCAATAAATAGGCTTGAAAGCTTTATCAGAAGCATTCTACAATTAAAGGCCACACTTTAAGAAAACAATCATTAAAGGTCATCCAAAACTCAGGGAAGGAAAGCAGAGCTTCAGGGAAGTCAGTGCTACTGGCCTCTCCTCCTTGCTTACTGCTTCATGGCAAAAGGAAAGTTAGAGAAACTGGAAAGAAGAAGCTTCCATGTTTTGCTTGAGTCTCATTTATAGACTGAGAGAAACGACCAAGAGCACAAAATCTTCTCTATACATGAGCTTTTACAGTATTTTTCAAGTTAACTGATAAAATTCAAATGTCTAAGTTTTTCACTCCACAGTTTTTCCCTCTACCAGATTTTAATTCCTGTGCTGAAAGTGTATACTTTTAAGCATGTGTTGATGCCTTCCGATAAAATCAGACAAGGAAATGTTCTTCAAGAAGTGCTATCTCAATAACTTTTACCATATCTAAAAGGTTATCAGAGAGGCCTTTTAAAAGACTTTTATTATTTTTATTTATGATATATAGTTACTTATAGCTACCTACCATTTTCTCA